CGTTACGGTTTAGGTTTCATTTGTTGAGGCATTATGATGAATGGGTGGATTGAGGTCCAAATTTATTACGGAAATACTATTACTGGATATCACGATTGCCAAAAAGTGATCCTTCTCCCACATGGGTCTGTTCCGAGGTTTCAGTGGTGCAGACTTTGTTTTTACAGACAATAATGTCAGGCCACATGCCACCTTTTGAGGAGCTTCTAAAAAGTAAAGATTGATCTGAATGAATTGGCCAGCGTTATCTCCTGATTTAAATCCCATAGATCATGGATGGGTTGCTTTTTGTAGACAAATTTCGATACGATTTTATCCAACGAAGAATACCCAGGAACTGAAACAGATGTTTATTGAGAAATGGGCATTCTTACTTCAACAACTGTTGAATAATCTGATTTTGGCAGCAGGCAAACGACAAAAGTAATAAGTTAAATGGATCCTATTTATTAATTTTTTTCCATATACTTGGAAAAAGTACTTTAGTCCAAATATATTTGTTCCTTATATATAATATTTAGCAACAATCATATTATTGCACTATTTTAAAAGGACGAATGTTGTCTTTCCCATAAAAGAGAAGGGTCAACAATAAGTTTTAATTGAACAATTAAATTTCTAATTCCTTTGAAAATATTTTTATAGAAATATTTAGTTAAAAATTTTAAATGCTTATTCATATGGTTATGAAATGTACTTTAAAAAATAAATTATTATTAAAAACCTTTTATATACAGCAAATGGATATTTTACTATGTCTCAAATCAATATCTAGTAATTACTGTACAAATTTAACATCAATAATAATCTCATCAATGCAGAACAACATTTAAAAAAATTATTGATGTTGTTTTCAATTGCAGGGCAATTTGACCTGAAGTCACTCCCAACTCAAATGGTCAAATAGTAGTAATTTTGTACTTTTCTAATTTATTTGTTCTAAATAAAAACCAAACGAAACGCAAGAAGGAATTGTTATTATTTATGATTAAAAGTTGTTTAATACCGAATATTTCATATACTTTTACTCGTAATAAGACGAGAAAATTGGAAGTTGATTTCTCATATTTCAAAATTAATCATCTTGAAATTTTGAGACTCTTTTTTTTTAAATGATAAAAAATTTTATTTACATTGTTTGGAGAAAGTTAATAATGTTTCTTTACTTTTCTGTGAAACATTATAGTTTTGTCCCGGCGTTATGAAACTGTTTTTCTCGTAAATATATTGTCTTACAAGAACTTTAATATGATTCTTTCCAAAAAATAGCGATATTTTCATAGGGGAATTGTTTTCAAATTTCTTTCCTGCATTATGTAATAAAATTCAGAAAATTAAACGCCAACTCGGATGAAAATCTTTATAATTCGCCATAAAATATAATACTAATATTTTTAAAATTTCATTAATTGCCTGAAAATGCTTTTCTTTTTTTCAAATTATTATTTGTTTTGTATAAAAATAAATGCTTAATATAGAATAAATGTCATTTTAAATAATCAATTTTAATTGACATATGTCAATTTAAAATATTATATATATGATAACCCATAGAACGTTAAAATTCAATAAATTATAGTATCAATTAAAAGTTTATAGTAAATTTAGAAAAAGAATCTTGAAATCTGCTCGTCAAATTTCAACTTATCATGTGTGAACATTCGAAGAACGGATGAATAAACTCAGGAATATGCCAATGTTTAATAATGCATGAGATATATGAAGCAATCGATTGGAATACTACAAGAATGTCCAAATTCAATAACCACATGAATATAGCAATGTTGAATAGATCAAGAACTTCATAAAGTATGAATTGTTCAAAAATCTCTAAAAGAATATACAAAAGTAAGATAAATGCAGTCATAAATGAAAAATGAAGTATTCCAAATTCTACAAGAAACGTTATCACATTCAATAGCCAAAACAATACATTAAAGTTTGGATATTCTAGGCATAAATGAAGAATGAAGCATTCCAAATGCAATTAGAAGCACTATGCAGCTTATTAGAAACGGAAAATGCCAAAAGTGATAAATGTGAAACTTCAAGAAGAAGGAATTGATCAACGCACTATAAGCACTTATAGCCATTGGAAATACAAATATTTAAAATTCCAACCCAAAACATGAAAAGTGATTCAAAACCATACTACAAAATACTTTAAGCAAAACCCAAATTCTCCAGAAAATTCCTGAAGACTAACGTTATTCATGAAGCATTACAAGATTTAAGGGCCCTAAGTATCATTTTCAGCCAAAATTTGCAATGTAGTTTTATTTGCTTGGCCCTCATTTTCGAATAACGTCACGAACCCCTAACCAGGACAGCGTCATGTTTACACATGATACTAATAAATAGATGAAGTCTTTGTACATATTTTTACTTTACCGTCTCGAATATAATTAAATTAAACATTAAATATCCCAAACTATGATTAATGATCCTCTTACAACAACCCAATTAATTTAAATTAGTTTTAAAGAAATAACTAATGAACTCATCCTTCGCATAAATTTGTAGCATTATTTTTATTATACTATAGCCAGACATAGTATCGATCATGTTAACCATGATTATTTTTTTATGTATCATTTCTGTAGTTGGCTGGTACCCAGAAAACTATTTTAACTTCAGAACGTACATATTATATTTCCCCTTTTTATTGTATTATTTCATTTAAATCGAATCCATAAACTGAAATCATTAATCACTCTCCCTTCTGTAATTGGGTTTTTATATAACAAAGATTTTAATACGTATTTGCACGTAAAGGTTAATCGATCTGAATATGAAAATAATGTGAATCTCAATCCGATAACATAAGTTGTAGTTATTGTATTTTTTTGCTAATTTTATGGAATGTTCGGGGAAAAGTGAGAAGGGGAAAAAATTAATGTAAAAATTTAACATTATTAATTATTTTTAATCGAATTTCTGGCTCAGCGGAGAATCCGTAGTTTAATGCAGCTCACGCATTGGCTTCGGCTTATCGTCATCAGAACACGCACTCATTTTTTCAAAGCTTGCATTACGTGGTTTATTTCAGACAACTTTTTAAAAACCTACTCATCAGCAATAAGTTTGCAAAAAAAAAATACTTACCAAATGAAAAATACTGTTACATATATATAAATGCAATATTGTTGTACCTTCAATTGAATAATATTGTTATACTATCAATTGAACAATATGATATACCTATAAAATGAACATTATTGTTAGGTCTACCAATTGAACAATATAATATACCTATAAAATGAACATTATTATTATAGATATCAATTGAATAATATTGCTATGGAATGTTCGGGGAAATTTCTATACCTATCAATTGAACAATATATTATGCCTATAAGATGAACATTATTGTTATATCTAATTGAACATTATTGTTATACCTATTCATATCACTATTGTCACATCTATCAACTGAACAATATATTATGTCTATAAACTGAACACATCTGTTATACTTAATTGAACAATATTATTATATCTATTCATATGAATACTATTGTCGCATCTATAAAGTGAACAATACATACCTATAAACTGAATATTATTGTTATACTTATAAATATATTATTGCTATAACTATCAAATTAATATTATTATACCTATTAATTGAACAATATTCTTATACCTATCAAGAGAATTAGCTTCCAGATTCAATAAATAATGCCGAAACAAAGCTCATCTATTTATCTCAGGGATAACCATAATAAACCTATAATAATTTTTCTTCGTAATATATTTAAATAATAAAAATCCATACATTAAAAATGTATTCGTCTGAAAAGAAGAGTATGGTAAATTTCACAAGTCGCCTTACTTCCATTTGCCTTTCCATTATTTTATTTATACAATAATGATACAACAACGCTGGCGACACACACAATTTATGAAAATCATTATTTTAACATAATCCCAAATTGGGTTCATACCGATTTCGATAGACATCTTGCCTCAAATCAACTCAATTCTAATCTGATGAATTAACGAATTAACCCATCAGATAGGGAAGATAATTTGGATAGGGTTATGGTTTATCTTCTGTAGGGATAATTAAGAACCAGTAGCTTGCTATCCTTTAAAAGTTTTTGTAACAAAATTTGGGTACATAGTAGAGGCATCTCCTCTCATTGGTACAACAAGCTTAACTCAAAATTTGCTGCATGTTTGTTTTTCTAGTGGCAAATCATTTCATTTCATGTTGTCGTATCCCCTGAAGAGTACAAGAAATCAAATATCGTTGCGTTCCAGAATAATATTGGCTATGTTGATTGCCAGCTCGTAGTATAAATCTTCTTCCGAGCGATGGTCCAGACAATGCATGGCAGATGCATCAGCTGGACAATCAAAGACATGATGAGTAGTAAGCTCGACATGAGGGCAGTTGCCACATTTTTTGGTATTTTTTGAAGCCATCAGCAGAAATTTTCATGTTTTTGTGTTTCATCCTTAATCTTGTGAAAATAGTAGCAGTTTTTCTATCGACATTTAGTTCTGTAACTTGGTATTTAGTTTTAATCTTAGAAGGAATTATACGTTTAGATTCAGGTAATTTTAAAAGCTTACTTTATTATAAGTAAACGTTTATATAAAAAGTTATACTAATTACCTAGCGTTTTACTTAAATTTATACTAACTGTTAAAACAGGCTTGGCTTGTCGCTCTACGGCCATTTTATGCCCACTTTAGGCTAATTAAACCGGTACCTACTGTTTAAACTGGATTCCGAACCACTAACAAACATCCATGCCACGGCCAAGATTCAAAGCTGAAGCCTGTAGTACCAAAGGCCAGTCCAAGACCGGACTGATGGCCAATTGGCCATCAGTCCGTTTGTATGTGCAATGGAAGTAGGAATGGCAGTCTGATCCAAACATCTAGCATTTTTTGCCAAAGAATCTGCAATCTCATCAAATTCCAAATTCCATGTCATTGTCCGAATATTTAAAAATAACAACAATATAAAATGTATAAATTATTAAGCCAACGGCCATACCATGCTGAATATAACGGTTCTCGTTAGAGTCAAGCATCATTGGGCGCGGTCAGTACTTGGGTGGGTGACCACCTCAGAACACCGCGTGCCGTTGGCATTTGGGACCTGAATGGCCGAGTTCTAGCGCTCTAGCGCTCGGTGCCACAGGTTTCGGGTTCGAATCCCGGCGGTGCCATGGATGTTTGTAGTGGTTCGGAATCCACTTTAAGCCGTAGGTCCCGGTCTCCTATGACTGTAAGAGCGTCACGGAGCCAAAGTCAGGCTTCTACCTACGGGTGCTCCATCACAACAGAAGCTGCTTCCTTTCCCTTCAATCATGAGTACGTATGGGCTCGTGGGCTTGGCCAGCCAAGTGGGATAAGAAACAACAAAACATAAATTATATAGCAAGAAATAAAATTATTTTGTGCAACGTAAAAGCCTAATTTTTTTTAAAAGATAGAAGTTAAATAAATAAAACCATTCTAAAACTGGAATAAATGTGTACTTTTTTCCCACGTTCATGAAATAGTGATTAATAATCCATGATTATATTCTCTTTTATGAATTTTTTATATTCTTCTATCCTATGAGAGAAAGACATGGAAAAACTATTTTTCAAGTTTTGAAATATAACAGCTCTTACCTATTAAATATGCTTGATTGATTATTGTAGAAGTTTGACAACTTCAAAAAAAGATTAAGAATTTGAAACAGTTTCTTAAAAAGCTGCAACGCAAACAAAAAAAGGGATAAAATATATTTATTTTTTATTTTTATTGATCGTCACTAAGGTAATATATCAATCTTTGGATGAAATACTCCTGATTTTTTTTTCATTCGCATGGCGTGCCAAAAACGACCACGTATTTAATTTTTCACGAGAGAACATTTTCAAGAGACTTTGAACTCTAAATAATAAACTCGAAAATCGTCTTTGGATGTTTTTTCAAGAAACACTAATATGTTCTAGGTACCAATTTGTATCAATTTTGTGTTCATAATTTATTTCTTAAGCTAGAGAAAGCGAAAATTGCGTTGATCTCAAAATGTTTTTAAAAATATTCATTTTATTTTTCTTGATAATATATTTAAATATGAATTCGTGAAGCTCTTTGAATGAATAAGTGAAGAATAAAGTCTTTCTAAGTAAAATCTAAAATAATACTTTTTTTTAGGTACAAACATCGAAAAAATTTCAGTAAAATTTTTTTAGTTTGTTATTTTCATTTCATAAGTATAATAAGTAAAGTTATTGCTTAAAAATCGTTGCATATTCAATTAATCAATACCAATTTTGTTTTTAAATATTATATTCTTAAGATTCGACTTCAAATATCCAACATTAGTAGAAGTACTTGAAGAAATTTTTGAAAAAGAAACAAGTAGCTCGTCAAAAATACTTGTATTAGAAAATAATATGATGTAACCGTGCTTCCTCATATAAACTGGTGAGAGTACCCCCTGTGACGTTCAGGAGAAATGGTCAGTCGGCCTAGAGGTAATAAAGAGGTAGTACAGAGAGGTAGTACAGCGTAATCTGCGCTCCTGCTGAGAAACATTTAGTTTATAATTTTACATCCCGATAAGAAATATATTTAGTACAGGCAGCTCATTAGTTGACCTACGGACTTGTTGTCTCCAAACTTTGGGACATTATTGGCATAACTTGGACATATTCAATGCAGATTTCTACAACTAATATGCCTATCATCAATGTAGTTAAAGGTAAAAGTCCACATCAAAATGGAATAAATTTTACTTGAATTGAATAAATTCAGAATGGTTAGAAAATCTTTGAAAAAGTAATACCCATTACAATAATTCAGCGAAAGTTAATTTTTTTGCAAAAAAAAAAAAAAAAAAAAACAAATGAAATTTGTCATTATAGAATATTTATAAATTCAAATTTAAAGGTGAAATTAATTTAAACTTAGAAACAACATCATCATAAAAATTATTTTAACTACTTTTGCTATTGTAATATGTTACTATATTGTTCTCTTAAAAATAAAATGTTATGAATACCGGAACTTTGACCTAAGTCAATCGCCATTAGAACGGCAGAAATGTAACAGATTCAGCGTTACCTAAGACAAACGGGGCTTAAACATTTAATCCCCGTTATCCACCACAATTTCAGTCGAGTTGGCATCTACGGGATCACATTTTCCTCCTTGTGGTTAGAAAAGTTAAAACGTTATCCATCACATCACCCCCTCACTGAATTTATAAAAAAAATAAGATGCGGAAAAAAATATTTTTTTTATTTACGAATTCCGTAATTCTTGAATACGTATCTCCAGAACAAGTATCGACAGGAGAAAAAAATCTTCAAATACAACTTATATTTTAATAACAGTTACATGCTCAGCTAGCATGTCAAAGGGCTCTGATTAGGATCTTTTGATGGAGTCTGTTCTGGTCACTGCTGTGGCAACATGTACAAAACTTATCTAATCCATAGGCAGGGTGCTTGGCGGATGTTTTCCAGGTTTTCCAACATACAACACAAATTCGAGGGAATTGTTCTAAAAGTCCTCCCGGAAAGCATTGTTCTGTCCTTATTGGCCATCAGTGATCTGTTAATTCGAATACCTATTGTGTGGTAAGGTATAATCGTATAAATCAATTACTTGTTAGGAGCTCTCATCAGACATACGCAGCGCAAAGCAGTTTAGAAACATTTTTTTCTTCTTATCCCTTTTGGAAGGGTCGATAGCAACATTTTTAGGCAAAGTCCATGAACCGGGGAGGTCTCATGGAAGGAGGGAGGGGGCAGCTTCTGTTATGAGAGAGCACCCATAGATAGAAGTCTGACTTGGATACGAGTAATGGAAGAAGAAAGGTAGTGCCTCCCGGGAGGACTTTTAGAGGGAATTATCCAGCATTTGCGTATCGAATGGGAGAAAACCCGGAGAATACCCACAGTCCAACTAACGAGGCAAGATGCTGAACATCACAAACGCCATCCAGTTTTATTATTTTTTGAAACAGTGTCTACAACAAAGCCGCCAGCAGATTGAACCTCAGCTATAATGCTCACGAGCGGCGCACGTTGCCATTGAGCCACGAATCGGTTAGTTAAAAATTAAAATTATTTTCATTTTAATTAAAAGTCATCTGAAATAATCTCTCTTATTGGATCCGTCAGACTTGGCGGCTTGCCAATTTTCCACGCAATCGACGATAGAATTGTAAGTGGGCATCCTACGTTCAACAACATCAATTGCATCTAAATCAATTAACCCAAACATGGTTAAAATGCCATATAATAACTTATCCTAGTTAATTTGACGCACAGTTTTATAGTATTTATTGTTTGACATAATTATCTAGTTAAACAGTTCTTTTCTAATCATCTAAGAAAAACTATACTTTAAAACATAATTATTTAAAATTAATGGAAAATAAAAAAGATTTTCTAAGACCCTTTCCCAAATAATTTTTCAACTATTCCTATTCTAAAGTTTTAAGTAGTCAAGAAGATTTTCCCATTACAATCTTTAACTCTTTAGGTAATTAAATTTTCTGGCTATACGTCTCCAGCACACATCGTACACTTGATAAGGCACCAGGGATTCTAGCTTTACCGAGGAAAATCTAATGACCTCTTCTGAGATTTGTTAGTTGGGCTCAGCAGAGGCTTTTATCTCCAGATTTTTCTTGTGGTTGCTATTGCTTTAATCCCCATATAATCAAAAGGGTTTTTTTATTGTAAAACATTTCTATAAATATACTGCCTTCGTTAATGAGTTATCGTTAGTTAGCCATGGTTTTAATGTTAAAAATCGTTTCTGATTTTTCTGAAACTCGACATGCTATTAAAGTTAACAATGAGGAGTAAAAATAGAAACCAAAATGTATAAAAATTAATGTTCCTAATAAGATAGCCAATTGCGATTTTACGTATAAAATATTGGATTTTTTTTTTATTTTAAAGATTAGACCATTATTTTGAGAGAATAGTTTTTAGTTTGTTTCCAGTATCATTAGAAATCGAGATACAGTTGTTTAGTCAAGAGTTATTAGGATACTTAATTCATGTACTAAAAACAATTTTGCACATTCTTTGGCGATTGTTTTGGTTTGTCGCTCTGCGGTCATTTTGTGTGCACTTTGAGCTAAATAGACCGAGACCTACAGTTCAACGTGGATTCACCACTATTAAAACTAAACTAAACCACTAAACAATCCTGCCATTGCTAGGATTCAATCCTAAAGCCTGAGGTGAGGAATGCAGAAGTCTGAATCAGACTGGCATTTCTACTTTTGCAGATACAATTGTCTCGCAAAATCTAAGCTTCTAAGCTCGCCCTCTAAGATTAAAACTAAATACCAAATTACAGAGGTAAATGTTGACAGAAAAACAGCTACTACTCTCACAAAATTCAGAATGAAGCATCCCAAAAATATGAAAATTTCTTCTGATGGCGTTAAAAAATACAAAAATGTGGCAACTGCCCTGATGTCAAGCTTACTCCTCCTCATGTCTTTGATTGCCCAGCTGTTGCAGCAGCCATGCATTGTCTGGACCATTCCTCGGAAGAGGATTTATACTCCGAGCTGGCAATCAACATAGCCAATATTATTCTGGAGCACTACGATATTTGATTTTCTTGTACTCTTCAGAGGATAGGACGACAACAACAACAAATAATTTAATTTTTGAAAAACTATATTTTTGGCTATATCGACATCGGGTGACAGTCTTAACTGTCGCAATAATTTTCTGAGTCTAGTGACGTTTGAACTATGTTTTTAATGATGTTATCTATACATTAAACTAAAATGTTTTCAATATAACTATTTATAGTTAAGTTATTGGTTTTTTGATCATTTTGGTTTTTATAGTTTTGATCTAAATGACTCGACTGATTGTAATTCAACCTATACTTTAGAATATGGATAAGTTCAGTGCATACGTAATGGATACATATCTTTATTTATGTAGGAGGATGTGATATTTTTAACATATTTGTTTAATTAGAAGTGTTTAAATAAAGTTAAGAAAATGATTTTTTTGTCAACGACAAAAACTATTAATTTATATATTTTAATTATCATTTAATTAAAAAAATTTATTTATATATTTTAAATACCATTTAGTTAAT